TCGTCATCAACGTCATCAACAACATCATCATCATCATCACCATCATCATCATCATCGTCGTCAGCATCCTCATCATCATCAGCATCATCGTCACCACCACCATCATCATCATCACCATCGTGGTCATCATCATCACCATTATCATCCTCATCATCATCAACTTCATCGTCATCATCATCCTCCTCCTCCTCATCATCATCATGTACATCATCGTCTTCATCATCATCATCATCATCATCATCATCATCATGATCATCATCGTCATCACCAGCACCATCATCTTTATGATGGCCATCGCCATCGCCATCATCGTCATTATCATCATCATCATCATCACATTCATCGTCATCATCACCCGCATCTTCATTACCATCATCACGTTCATCGTCATCATCAACATCACCATCATCATCACCATCATGATCATCATCGTCATCACCGTCGTCATCATCATCATCATCATCATCATCATCATCATCATCATCATCATCACGTTCGTTATCATCATCCCCATCATCATCATCATGATCACGATCATCATTATCATCATCAACCTCATCATCACCATCATCATCTTCACCATCATCATCATCAGCATCATCATCAACTTCGTCATCATCATCATCATCACCAACATGATTATCATCGTCATCACCGTCTTCATCACCATTCTCATCACCATCATCATCTTCATCTTCATCTTCATCATCATCATCATCACCATTATCATCTTCATCAACACCATCATCAATATCATCATCATCACCATCATCATCATCATCATCCTCATCAATATGTTCATCATCATCACTATCATCAGCATCATCATCTTCATCATCACCATGATTATCATCACCAGCATCATCAGCCTCATCATCATCAGCACCGTCTTCACCGTCATTGTGATCGTGATCATCATCACCATCATCACCTTCATCGTGATAATCATCATCATCACCATGATCATCAAAATTACCACCAACATCGTCCGCATTAACATCAACATCATCATCACCATTATCATCATCAACATCATCAACATCATCGCCACCTACCTTCATCATCGTCATCACCATCATCATCACCAGCATCATCATCATTGTCATCACATTAATCGTCCTCATCATCGTAAGGAAAGTCATCAATATTTTCATCACCACAATCATCGTCACCATCATCATCATCATCATCACCGTCATCATCATCACCATCATCATTGTCACCATCATCATCATCATCATCATCATCATCATCTAGTTCATAATCATCATCATCATCATCATCATCATCATCATCATCACCATCATCATCGTCATCAGCGTCGTTATCGCTATCATCATCAGCATCATCACCTTCATCGTCATCATCATCCCAATCGTCGTCATCAATATTTTCATCACCACCATATCGTCACCATCATCGGCATCATTATCGCCACCATCAACCTCGTCGTCAACATCGTCATCATCACAATCATCATCAACTCCATCATCAATATTACCATCAACATCATCATCATCATCATCAGCACCACCACCATCATCATCATCATCATCATCACCATGATGATCATCATAATGATCAGCATGATCATCATCACCATCGCCATCATCATCATCATCATCATCATCATCATCATCATCATCATCATCACCATTATCATCAACAACAGGATCATCAACATCACCCTCATCATCATCAGCACCATCGTCATCACAATCAGCATCACCATCATCATCATCATCATCATCATCATCTTGATCGTCATCATCAGCCTAATCATGGTCATCAATATATTCATCACCACCATTATCGTCACCGTCGTCATAAATATCATCATCATCATCATCATTATCTTCAACATCATCATCACCATCATCATCATCATTATCATCATCATCATCATCATCATCATCATCATCATGATCATCACGATCATCATCATCATCATCATCATGAACACCATCATCAACATCATCATCCTCGCCATCATCTTCACGATTATCCTCATCATCACCATCATCATCATCAATATCACCATCATCATCACCATGATCATCATCATCATCATCATAATCATTAGCATCATAACCATCATCAGTTCATTCATCATCATCATGATCACCATCATCGTCATCATCATAATTATCATCACCGTCATCATCATAATTTTCATCACCATCATCACGTCATCATCGTCAACATCATCATCATCATCGTCATCACCTGCATTGTCATCATAATCCTAATCATCGTCAGCAATATTCTCATCATCATCTTCATCGTAATATACGTCATCAATTTTTTCATCATCATCATCATCGTAATCATGATCATCGCGATCATCATCATCAACATCACCATCACCATCATCATTATAATCATCATCATCATCATCAACATCATCATCAACAAAATCAACATTATCATCATCATCAACATCATCATCATCATGATCACCAACATCATCATCATCATCATCGTCATCATCTTCATGATC